GGGTAGGGCGACACCCGTTGGAGGATTTTGGTGAGTTTCTGTGATGGTCTAGGTGAAACTGTGCAGGGTGTGGCCCAACGGTGTTGATACTTATTCGTTTCGCGAGCCACTTGGAGTTGTGGCGGGGATATGTCCTTTTAACTTTCCTGCTATGATACCTATGTGATGTTCCCTTTGGCGGTTACCGCTGGAAACACGTAGTACAGTTGCAATATGTGTTGGCTTTCCTCAGCTGAGTTCAGGAGTTTACATACAAATTTGGGTAGAAGTGTAAAGAAACTGCTAAAAAATTGCTAAAATTTTCTGAGGATTTTCATATTATCACCAACACACGTAGTTGACTGAGATTAGATGGCTATATGGTCTCTCGTAGTGTATGCAGTTGTTGCTCGCGCGGGTTTAGGTTCATTCTGAAGCCCAGTCCTCGTGTGCCATTGACTTCAGTTCGCCTCATGGAGCTGCTCATGGATACAGGTGGTGACCTACAGCTCCTCGTGAAACGGTCTTACCACACCATTTTGATTAATCGCTAATGCGTCTCACCTGGGTAGAGCTCATCTTCTGAGAAACGAGTATAGTCTGCTGATTCGGATATCGATCTGAAGTTGGCAGGTATTCCTGATGGAGTTGTGAACATGGTCCATGGAGGGGCGGAATCGGTTGAGTGGATCTGCAAACATCCGAGTATCAAGGCGATCAGCTTTGTGGGGGGCAACACTGCAGGTATGCACTGTTCATCAGCAGTGACCTTGGACTTATTGTTTAGGTGAATTTATATTCCGAACTGGTGCTGCTCATGGTAAGAGGGTTCAGGCTAACATGGGGGCTAAGAATCACTGTGTGATCATGCCCGATGCTGACAAGGAGGATGTAAGTGCTTTGTAATTGATTTTAATGGAATAGTGAATTCGCATTGTTACGGTATGAGCCGGTCATCGTGCTATAGTGTTGGAATCTATGTTCGCTTGCATCAGCCGGGTTCAGGAGTTGCCCACTAATTATAGAAGCTCATAAATGTTAATGAGAATTTTCCGAAATTTCCTCAGAATTTTCATATGCCCATGTGCGCATATCTTTCTAAAGTGCCGTGATATCGTGTAGGCGCTGAACATGGTAGCCAACGCAGCGTTCGGTGCAGCTGGGCAACGCTGTATGGCGCTGTCGGTACCGGTGTTCGTGGGGAAGGCCAGAGAATGGTTACCTGACTTGGTGGAGAGGGCTAAGAAGTTCAAAGTTGGACATGTGAGAAAGCTGGGGTTGTTGGGCTCAGTGTGGATGGTGATTTGACTACAAAGTGGCCTAGTGTAGATATCATTGTGAATATAGTAATATCAGAACTTGTCATTTTGGAGGCTCTTTGGAGGGTATGTGAATGGGTGCATAGCTCTCATTAGCTGCCCTGTGCCGCGACAGTGATGATAAGAGGATCCATGTCATGGTATATTCTCGATCACTTACACACCGCCTTTTACCGTTACTCTTTACACTGTAGTTTATGTAATTGGACATAGGTGGATAGCCGATGGTTCATCAGCTTAGTTTTTGTTGTTCTAGTGGGCGTCTCGTGGAATTTTCACAATCGTTTGTATATCTCTTTCTTACGTGGTTATTAGTTTGGTATAGGGTCTGGATGCTACTGCTGATTTCGGTCCACTGGTGTCGAAAGACGCAACGTCCAGAGTGGAGGGCATCATAGCTGGATGTACGGCTGAGGGGGCGAGGTTGTTGTTGGATGGGAGACATCCTCAGGTGAGAGTATTGGAAAATAGGATTTGATTTCTGACCATATTATGGGAATTTACACACGAAAAAACGTCAAAATTTCGTCGTTGTTATCATCTCATGTAGCCGCTCATGTGGACATATTCCCACATAGGTTGGAAACCTCATCGTGAATAGCCTGAGTCAGAAATGAAGTGGTCATCCTGGTTTGCGGGTGTTGCATGTTAGACTCTATATTTTCTAGATAGAGTATTAGGCTGGTTCACCTTTAACGGGTGGAAGTTTATCATATATAATTCATCCTTGTGTGTTTTATTATTATCGTTCATCGATAATTTTCTGGTGCGATAGCGGTCATAGATAAATGTGAGAGTATCGTATGTATGATTTCCCCCTCTCCCTGTAGGTGGAGGGTTACCCCAACGGTAACTTCGTGGGCCCTACAGTGATCGCTGGGTGTAAGCCTGGTATGACATCCTACGACCAGGAAGTGTTCGGGCCAGTGGCTACCTGTGCTGAGGTTGATACACTACAGGAAGCCATTGATCTCATTAATGCTAATCAGTATGACATATGCGTGCTCGAAGGGCGAGTTCGATGCTATGGTAGGTTCGGAAATGGCGTTGCTATTTTCACTCAAAATGGGGCGGTGGCACGTAAATTCCAGACG